AAGTAATTAAAAATGCATTCTGTTTTACACATTAAAAAACAAAAACTTGTAGCTTATCAATATGTTGATAGCCAACTGAAAATTGTACATATATAAATACCTGTCTTAAGGTGTTACTGAAACTTAATTTTGTTTTTATGCTGTTCATTTCTGGTAAGATCCATATATTGAATCATACTGAGAATTAATTAACTGCTGTATTTATGATGTTTTTGTTTAAGTTTTTGTTGTTGTGAGATTCATATGTTATTAGGGGTACTGTAACAACAAAGGTATGGACACTCAGATTGGTGCATAGATAGTTTATTAAAATGTGTTAAAAAGCCATTGTGGAATAAACCCTATCAGTGATTCTAGGATTAATATTAAAAGTTTTATAACTTAAAATGGGCAGATTTACCTCTGAAACACAGTGTGCCTCTTCTTGCTTAGTATAACTTGCTCTGTTAGCATCTTGTGACAAAGTTTTTGAATGTCCTCCACACAGTGCAATATTTATGTCATACCTATCCATAGTCTCTATGTTTTCAAGACTTTCTGTTTGACAGCTGTGCTGCTTGTGTCATTTTCTCTGTTCAATATGAATTTGAATTTCACTATTAACCGTTATGTTAACACTTCTTATCCTTCAGTTGAGTCCTAATTTCTGCATTTAACTATTGGTGTACAAAGGGGAACCTATGGCTGCTTTGTTTTCCCTGATTGTTCAACATATTTGGTATCTTTATGGGATATTCTATTCGTTTTGATGACAATATCGATGAGTAATGTCTTTACTAGCCTGTTGGTGAACAAGCCTAATCTGTTGACTAGTCCTCTTCACCTTCTGTTTCTAAAAACAGTATTTATCAACTGACTCTCTTCCTGACTTGATTCAACTTATAACTCAGGTATGTGCCAATTTAAAAATTGAGCCTATTTTTGTAATACCTGATATTGAGAGTTATTTGTGACTTTGAGAAATCAATTTAATATATGTTTTCTTCATGTTCCTTCTATTTGTCTTGCTATGGATATTTTGGTGTGATCTACTCAAGTGGTCCATTTGACTTCACTTCACTTAGGAGGGCATTTACATGAACTTTGTTGTCTTCTAAACAGTTTTTTTCCTGTTTTCTATTGGTGAGACTGGCTTCACCATCTTAGCTTTTAGTTACATGCTCTTATCAATCTCCCAATTCTCTTTCTTTAGAACCTTTCTCTGTTTGGAAGTATTCTTTCTCAGTTGCCCTTACAGATGTAGTTTCTTTGTCAATGTGATGCTCTGTTCTTTTGATATGATCACTTGCACTTCTGTTTAATGAGGTACTGATCTTCCTGCCAGTATTGTAGCTGAATTTGAATGTGTTTGCTTTCTGCAACAATTTCTATTTGCAGGTATTTCTGAGGGATTCATTTTATGTACAGGGGAGGTGTGTCAACAAAAACTTGGTCTGGATGTTGATGTCTTACTATTTACTTTTGAGTCATTCTTCTTCCTGATGCATATTTATGTCTCATTGTCTTGTTAATCCATTGACTTCTTCTACTTTTTGGACCATTTCAATCTCTTTTGCTTTTACTGTTTGTCTATTAATTTCAGCCAACTTGCCAGACAAAGAAGCAAATGTAATACTGTAGCTCAGCCATTTCATTGATTTACTACTCTTCTCTGGACCCCTTTGGTATCCAGACTGTTGTGGAGTCATATCAGTAACTTTGTTCATCTGTGAGACCATTGGCTTCAAGATGCTTGGATTCAACTTATTCTGCAATCCAGTCTTTTTTCTTCATTTTCACTTTCTTTCTCCTCCTATCATTCTGTTTTTTTTTTCTACAGGATCCAGTTTGTTAGCAACTTCTGGATCAAGTAGTTTTTGACCTCCTCAAAGGTGCAATAGAAATTGCACACTCTAGGTTTCAATATGTTTTACTTATTTTGTTATTTCCAAATAAAGGAAGTGATTGGAGACCCATAATAGATCTTTTACTACTCAAACAATATCTTATTGTGCTTCATTTTAAAATGGAGGATATAAAATTGCTAAGTTTGGTAAGTTTCTTTGATAAAAGCAATGGATGATCAAAGTGAATTTGAAGGATGCTTATTTACACATCCCCATTCATAATTCATCAGTTTCTTAGCTTTTGCCAATGGGAAGTGGTTTTCCAATTTTGAGCCCTTTCATTTGGTCTAGTCTAAGCTCCACAAATGTTTTTTGAAGTGGCCAGGGTCTTTATAGGCCTTCTGCACTCATCTGGCATAAATTGCATTTATTACATGGACAACTGTCACATACTAGATCTTTCATTAACACAGTCTCAGGCATGCACATGGCTGACCACCTAGTTGGTCATTTCCTATACATTCCTTCTGTTTGTCATGCTATGGATATTTTGGTGGGCTCTACCCTCGTGGTCTATTTGACTTCATAGTCACTTGATCTAACAATTTCTTACTGGGAGGGTATTTACATGGACTTCTTTGTCTTCTCAGCAGATTTTTCCTATTTTCGATTGTTGGTGAGTCTGATTTTTAAACTGGCTTCTTCAGCTTAGCTTTTAACTATAAGTTGTTTTCAATCTCCCACTTACTTGTAACATACAATTGAATCCTTATGCCCTCTCTTCAGTGGGATTTAGTGAGCTTCATCCCATCATCCTGGCATATTTCTTACTCTTTTCATATTCTTGCTTCCCTCCAATTTTGGTTGGATGAGGAATTGATCACTGTGTGGTTTTCTTTTCTTCCTCCACTGACAGATCTCCAACACTTCAGAGATATGTCCTTGCAGTGTTGGGGTGAAGTTTTAGGAGATAACTGCATTTACAGTCCTTAGATCTCTCATAAGTTTTTGACTTCCACTTTTTATAGATATTTTTTGGGCATTTTGGCTTCAATGTCCTCACATTCCTTCTTGTTTTTACACTTTTATATACATCATATTGTTGTTGCTTCAGTTTTGTAGAGCTGTTCCTCTAACCTCCATCATCCACACTTCCCAGTCTCAGTGGATTCTTGCTCAGTATATGCATCTGTGATTTTGTATCAGTATTGTTTAGACGACTTAAACAAACAAGCCCTGGCTCTTTGAGCATTAGAGATGAGAGATTATAATCTTCTGTGTGTGTCATGCTTAAAACCAGAAGCATTCTTTCTCTGCTTTTGTGACTATAGTTTCCCAATTCAGTGTCTTTCCTTTGGGTTGAATCCATATGCCCCTTTTTTCAGTAGGATTTGATGAGCTTCATCCCATTATCATGGCATATTCTTTTCTCCATTCATACTAATGGTTCCTTCCAATAATGGTTAGGTAGGGAATTTATCACTGTGGGGTCTATTTTTTCTCCCCTCACTGATAGATCTCCAGCTATTCACAGACATGTGTCTGTAGTGTTGGGATGAAGTTTTGGGAGATAACTGCATTTCTGGCCATTAGATTTCTTTTAGGTAGGACTTTATATAAACCTTTTTGAACTCTGGGCTGTCCATTGCAAGTCTCAACGATTGTTACTCTCTCTCCATCATAAATTAGTATTACTAAATAGTAGGGATGCATGGGTACCCGGCTCTGGCCTGGTATTGGACTACCTGGTAATTGGCCAAGTGTCGAAGTTAGGCATCTAAGCCCTAATCTTTGTGGCAACTAATGCAGTACTGTAAGTAACAGTCAATAATTGGTTTGGTTATAAAAAAATGTGTTCTGAGCAACAAAAACTGACCACTTGCTGAAAGTTGGGGATTCAGAGAACAATAGGGTTTAATAACAGGCATGGCTTGAGAAGTGAATTTCTGGGGACGGTGGGGGTTTTGAGAACAATAGGGGTTAGGGTTTGAGAAGTTGGGACTAGGCATTGAAAGTTGAAAGTAAAACTTGAATGTTTCCTAACTTGTTTTTGTTTGGTGGTCTTTTCTGTATGAATGAAAGAAGCAATTAAAAAAAATACTGACATGGTCTCTGTTGATAGCTAGAAACTCCATGTGTAGTTTGGAACCATTTATGCAGAACTTATATATGTTTATAGGAAACATTCATTTTTTTCTAAACTGTATAACCCTCTATGCTGGTGCTCCATTAGAGTGTGAGGCCTCTTGACTGTAGACATAGAATGCTATCTGGTGGCAGATGATGCCTCAGGAGGTATCTGTCTTCCCACAGTTATATGCATATCACATATAGCATGGCAGATAAGATGTCATTATAAATTTCCATCAAGAAAGAAGCAGATCTCTGCAAGGTGCCAAAATGTTGTTAGTACCACCCCTGGCTACCACTTACCATCCTCTAAAAAAAAGTGTTTTGTTTCTGATTCTGCCCAGTTTAGTAGGACAGATACTATATTCTTGAATGGTTAGGTATCCTACTGGGAAGAGTGTTTCTTCTGAGTGTCCTTATAAAACAACAGATCAGCCTTATTAGTTATTATATAGTCTTAACAAGTGCCTAGTTCCTTCCACTCCTTCTTAAATGCAGATTCAGCCATTCATATATAGTTAGGTCTGTATTCTTCTTCTTTCTGTTTCTCATTCTAGACTTCACCAGTCATCAATTGGTATTGTTAAAGCACTCCATAGTCCAATGACTGTTGTATTCTGTAATTTCCTCCTATTTTTCATTATGGGTGATTAGGCACTGTGAGAATTTTAGAATTAAAATGAAATTCAAACTGGTACTTAACTCTGAAATACATTCCTATCTGCCTTCTGACAATGATATTATTTGAAGTTTCACATCACAACTGCAAAATAAATCTTGCTTTGGTCCCCTGATACTTGTACAAATAAGTGATGTGGAAGACAAGAACTGTGGGTATGTATGATGCAAGTATTGCACTACATCAACAACATTTTGAACTTTAGTTCACCTGACACTGACAGAATGAGTACTACTCAACAAGAAGAGGCTGACTGTGTTTCAGAGGTAAGTACCTGTTTGAAACTCATTTTAATTCTAAAAATGTAAAATTTAATTACTTACTGTAATTACAGTTTATGTACATCCATTTTTACTTTTTTATAGTTAAAAGACATTGATATATTTACTTGTGAGGAGTGTATGCTGGATGGAGACTCCTCAGAAACATACCCGTTGTTTGGTTTGGTGCTACAGGTGAGTAATTATTCAAACTTTATGTTAGAGTGAGGATTATTATTAGAAATGATTAGTGATAGTTTCATGTGACATTCCCTGTCATTGACTTATAAAATTGAAGAACTTTGTGTAATATTAATATTGAATGGTTTACTTAATGGTAAAATAACAAGTACATCATGGAATATTCATATTCAATAAAAAGTTGTGGTAAGTGTAACTGATTTAACATGATTTTTAAATAGAAAGATTCGTGTTGAATATATGTTGCTAGTTTTTGATCTGTTGACATTTATTGATTTGCCTAATGGTAAAAATTCTTAATAGTTTAATAATGCCTTTATTTATTTGCATTATTAAAAATATATAGGTTCATTGTTTAGTTTTAGTGAAGAAGCTTGGTGTACTATTAATGTTCTATTTTTTTATTAGTTGTTAAACTAAATAAATTCATATGATGATTAATTTTCGGTATTTACGTTTTTACCTAAAATGTCTCATTCCTCGTGTTGTTCAAATTCAGTGTGTGACATATCATTAAAATTTTCTTGTATAGTAATATTTACAACATATTCAATGTATTATTGTTTGGAAAGTGTGACTTGTTTGATTTATAACCTCACACCCTCTACAAGAATATAATTTAATCCTTTTTTTCCACTGGGAAAGCAGAGATGTTATTGATATACCCTACATTTTTCATTTTCACAGTGAAAATACTGTGGGTCATGTCTATTGCTATGCATTATATATAGAAAATTATGATACGATACATTACCTCTTCTAACATAAATAGCTATTCTAGCCCTCTATATGCAAAAACGTTTTTGTGCATGCCACAAGCCTTGAAACTCTCACCCATCTGGAACTGACTGATTCCAATGCATCTTGCATGCAAATTATCCTGTAACAAACCTCCACCAATAACAGTGCAACATACTCTCTTGATGCAAGTGACTCCCTCTATTCAATTCTACCAAACTGTCACTACTTGTTTGGCAGTACTCGGGTCAATACTTTTTTTTTGTGCTCTTATTATTATTATTCGTAGCCTTGACTTTCAATAGTTTAATTTCCTAAGTGGAAATTCTTCATTGTCATTTATTTTTTTATCTTTACATAGTTGAAGAATTTTTTAGTTAACTTAATTTCCCAGTCTTTTTTCTTAGTTTAGATTTTTTTCCCCATCAAACATTTGTGTTTGATTTTATATTTCAACTATGAATTCTTAAGTTAATGTTACCACTTTGGGTATCATATTTCCTACTAGCACTATCTCACAGGCTGCAGGTGGGGGATTTATTTGCTATTATCTGCAATGAGATTGATGGTTATATTAGTCAACCTCCTTCTCCTAAACTTGTCCCACTTTTTCCCATGCAAGCCGAACCTATTTGAGCTGAGGATTTTGATAGCCTTTTTCCACTGCTGCATTTTGCCGTGTCTTCCAATGCCCCACCTGTGGAATCAGCTAAGCCTAGTATGGCATTTTTAGACATGATTATTCATGTATGTCATTTTTTGTTCATTTCCCCAATTTTTTATGATCCTCATCCTTCTTTGTTACGATACCTCTTCATTTCAATATTTGATTTTCCCACCTTCCCCAGATATTAGTGTTCATACTGAGCATTTTGTTTCTCGGGTGTGGATGCCAGCATGCCTCGCCCTCCATGGGCTATGAATCAGTTTGCATTAACATACCATCAGGCTGACTGTCCATTTCCTGACTCTCAGCAGTTGAAGTCCATTTTGCCCATGTGGGGGCAGTCCCTGATTTTCCTGTGGGTTTATCCCAAGCACAGTTTTCTCTCCTTTGTCTTACCCTTACTTCCCTTCTATGGTTTTTATCTACTATCCATCTCCTTTCTGAAGTGATCCACAGAGATCCTGAGGGTTTTTCGAGGGAGAGCCTCCCTCTAATTTCCTTCATGTTGGCACCTTTGCTGTTTTCAGCTCTCGCTTTACACATGTGGTTTCTCTTTTGTTGGGATCTTCTGGGTAGAGATGTAGCCTTGTCTCAGGTTCATTTACTGCCCCTTTATCTCAGGGATTTATGTATGGCCCCCTTTTCTTTGGAGGTATGTTTTTGGTGATGTCCCTGAGACTTTGAAATCATGTGTGGAGTCGGTGCATCTACTCTTTTCTCTTTGGCTGCATTTTTGTCTCAGTCGGAGCTAAGACAGACACTTATTCCTGTTTCCTGTCCTAGTCCTTCTCAACCCCTCCCTGTTCCTCCCTCAAGGGGTTCCTCATCTTGTTGTTTTATTAAATGTAGATGGTCACTTTGGCAACAGTACCAGTGACTACCTGATGGGTTCTGGTCCAGTGGGAGCTCGCTTTTTTGAATTTGTTCCCCTTTAGCATCCTTTCACCATAGATCTGGTGGATTTGGATTTTATTCGAGGGACTTGTCCCACATTTCCTTCTCCTCTTTCCTTTGTCTCAGGTATCCATTTCCTTCCCAGTGCCTTGGGATCCTATTACCAATCAGCGTCTGTCCGAAGGAGGTACAAGATCTTCTATCTCAACAGGACATTGAACCTTTCCATCATTTTTCTCCATGCTGTTTGTTGTCCCCAAGAAAACCAAAGACTGATGGCCTGTGATAGATTTGTCCCGCCTCAATCATTTTCTGCTTCTACCCTGCTTTACCATGGAGTCATTTTTCACCCTCAGGTGTGCTTTTTCTCCCGGTTTGTGGATGACCAAGGTAGATGTCGCAAATGCTTACTTGCATATCCTGATATCTCATCAGTTGTGACACTATCTTTGGTTCATTCACCACAGGATGGTTTATCAGTTTCAAAGCATTCGTCTGTCACTTACACGCTTAAGGGTTGTACTTCCATCATTACATGGACGATTGGTTACTGTTTGTTTTGAACAGGAGTCCACCCACCACACTCATCGACTGCTCTTGGAGGTGATTCAGGTGGGCTGGTTAATCCAATTGGAGAAGTCCAACCTTTTGTCTACCCAATATCTTGTCCATTTGGGTGTTTTTTTCAACACCCATCTCAGTTGGACCCAATCTACTCCTTTTCAACTTCATTTGATAGAGCTTTCAGTTCTCCATGCTCTTGCTGCTCCCTGTATTACAGCTGGTGAGGTTCTATCACTTTTGAGGATGTGATCTTTCTTGGTAGCCCTTATAACCTTAGGCCATGCATATATGCAGGCTCATCACGACCAGTGGAATCTTGTGCAGGATTCTTTGAAGGCTCCTATTTCCCTTCCTTCCCTTGTCGGCAATCTGCATCGGTGGTTGGACAAGATTCACACATCAGTGGATGTCCTGCTTCCTCCTCCTCATCTGGATTTATACATTTTCATGGGTGCATCCTGTCAGGACTGGGGGTGTGGGTTGATCAACAAGAGGCTTTGAGATGTTCATCTGCAGCTGAGAGGTCTTATCATATAAACATTCTGGAGCTTCTCACTGTATGTTGTACTTTGGTTCATTTTCTGCATCTGTTCAGGAATCGTCTGGTGATGATCCAGTCCGACAATTTTATAGTGGTTGCCTATCTCATTCACCAGGGAGGCACTTGTTCTCGATCCCTATGTTTCATACTTTGGATCTTCTTTTTTGGGCCCACATTGCATGTAATTTTCCAGATGCTTTCAATCTTATTGCAGATTTGCTTTCACGTGCTGACAAAGTCTATCCAATGTCGTAGTCTCTTGATCCTATTATTTTCCATTTGCATTCAGTGGGGTACTTCATACCTTGATGTATTTGCCATATCCCTCAACACCAAATTGCCTCTGTTTTGGTCTCCAGTCCCTCATTCTCTTGTTCTGGCTGTAGATGCTTTTAGTCAGGATTGGACCAACTAATACTGTATGTCTATCTTCCCATGCCCCGCAGTGGCACAGCGATATCTGTGGGCTTACAACGCTAGAAACTGGGTTTCGATACCCATGGTGGGCAGAGCACAGATAGCCTGTTGTGTAGCTTTGTGCTTAACTACAAACAAACTATCTTCCCATTTGCCTTCTTCACAGGGTGATTTCGATCATCTTGTCACCCAGGTCCTTCTGATTTCTCCTTACTTGCAGGCTAAACTGTGGTTCCCATGGCTACTCTAGCTCCAAACTACCCCTCCATTACCTCTTCCTCTTACTTCATCCCTTCTTTGTCAACTTTGGTTACTGGTGTTTCATCCAGCCCTTCCTGTTCTCCGTCTTCAAACCTGGTTTTTATTTGGCCCTTGGTGAGCAGATCCAGTTTGTCTTCCTTCAGTAGTGCTCGTTCCTGCCTCTTTATTCCTTGGCAGACAACCTGTGTTTGTGATCTTTCTTCTTCCATTCTCCCCAATTGGGTTCAGTTTTTAATTTGATTGTCTTATTCTTCTTTATCGTCTTCCTCTCATACTTTGTTCCAGGTGTCTTCTCATCAAATCAGACACCTTACCTTTTCATTTGTGTCTCATCTTTGTCGTCTCTTGGAGGAAATTCTTCAATTGGGCATTTGGACTACTCATATGTTCATATCTTACTATTTGCATCAGATCACGGTATCTTCATCTTTGGGTTATCATATTCCGCCTGTAGCCATTCTTCAGACTTTGACTGGTTTAGTTATCTTCTATTTCCCCTTTCTTCCTTTTCAGGGGACTTTTTCCCTTTTCTCTCTTTTTTGTTGGTCCTTATTGTCTGGATCCTGCTCTGTGACAGGTGGTGCCTGACTAGGTATTCTCTAACCATTCAAATCCACACTGTTTGACCATGTCGACTTACATAATATGAATTCCGTGGTCAAAACAAACACACACACTGCTGAGATGGGGTGTTCCACTTGATCACTTGTGAGTTTATCCTTGTAATATGTTTGCTTCATTAGTTTGCCCATCCTGGACCATACTCACCCATGAACTACATGGGTAAAGCAGAAGGGGATAGCTGCCCATCCCTGCCATGTCTTTATTGAATAAATCCGTATGGTCTGTTTTTCAAATTAGGGTTTCCTGGTCACCCATTCCACCGCCTCAGGTGTTGTCGTTCCTCTGGAA